GGCATGGCATCTCTCTCAGGCGTCTGCTCCCGAGAGGAAAGCTGTCGAGTCTGACCTCACTTCCTCTTCCTCCCAGCGTTCTGTTCTGTCTACTCCTCCCACCTATCCTCTAATCAATAAAATGGGCCAAGGCAGTTCCTTTATTAGCCAATGACCTTCCTCCATCACCTCCTAGTAGTACCACTCTCTTTGGGGGCCATTTTCTTTCAAACCACCACACTAATTTTAAAAGAAAAGTTAAAATTCACAATAAAATGTTTTAAATTATTTTCCAGCTGCAGAGGCTAGGATGTGTAAGATCAAGCTACCAGGCGATCTGGTGAGGACCTCACTGTTCCACAGCTGTCACCTTCTGAAAAAGAGTGGGACTTTAAACCATTTACATCTCCAGCCTCCCAGATGTATTCCCTGGCATCTTGTGGGGAGAAATTCTAGGTGGATTAGGATCTTGGGCTCAAATCCAGCATTTTTCAGTTGTTACTAGGTTCTTCAATCTGCATTTATTTTAAAGAAAAGAAAACTCGGAGACTAACATCTTAAAATGAGTCATGGACGAAGTGCACATTTGCAAGAAAATACGGCTTTTACAGCTTCTCCATCACTCTTTGGAGTTGACCTAAACAAGCCAGTGGGCCAACACTGAAAAAAACTTCCCATGTGACATTGCGCCCAGCTGTTTTCTGATCAACTAAATATAACTTCCTTTCTTTCTGATTACTTTTCCTTTTCAAATGAAGTCCTTTTTTTAATTTTACAGAATTAATGAAATCATAATTTCAAATGACAGAGTTAAACCAAAGTGTTTTTTTCATCTTCAGGAATCTTGTTTTTAAGTTCACTAAACAAAAAAAGCTCAGAGAGAAAAAAAACCCAGAAATTTGTTCTCTCTTCTTCCCATAACTTAACAAAATTAAATTTCTCATGAGTATATAACCATGGGATTTTAGTGTTTCGGGGTCACCAGTGCTAGGGACAATACATATTTTATAGGTAACCTGTGGACTTTCTTAGGGGGTATTTTAATGAACTGCCGGACATTGGGAATCATGAAATAAAGGAGTTTCTTCCCATTTCTGGAGGGATCTGAAGACAGAGCATCAGTGGGGTCAGGTGTCTCTCCTGGCTTCTGCTGGTGACTAGTCGTGCGCAGTCCTCTACATGACTGCAGACCGCCATCTCTGAATCTTACTCTCATGGCATGTCAGTCACCATGTGTGTGAGTTTCATCATAGCATTTCCCACATACTTCCTGGTTCTTTGTGTCCTCCTGCCCTCCAGCGACATCAGTTGTGTTTCATTGCAGCCCTCTCCTACTCTTGTGTGATCTATCCTTTGTCTGTGTGTGCTGTGTGTGTGCGCGCATGCATGTGTGCTTGTCTGTGTAAATGTCAATGTGTGTAAGTATATGTGTATGCAGGTACACATGTGCACATGGATGTAGAAGCTAAGGGGTCACTACCGGTGTCATTCCTTGGGTACTATCCTTTTGATTCTTCTAAATTTTATTTTCATTTTTTAATTGATCCTTTGAGAATTTAATACATATATACAATTTATTAGGATCATATCTACCCACATATTTCCTCTCCCAAGCCCCCCTGGTCTCCCTAACACACTCCTCTCCCAACTTTATGTCTTTTTTTGTATTTTTAATATCCCATTGTTTCAGTTACTGCTGTCTGTATGTGCTTCCGTGAGGTCATCTCTGGAGCATGGGTGACCTCCTGGGGTCATCTCTGGAGCATGACCTCCTGGTGACCACACTTGCAGGTAGAAATGCATCTCCCTCCCTAGAAGTTATCAACTCCTCACTCAGGGCAGGGCATCTGGGCTCGAGTTCTCACTGGCTTGATCGTGTGTAGGACTTGTACCTGATCCATCTGTCTCTGCATCCTCAGGACCAGGACTGTAAGCCCCTGTCACCACTCCTGGGTGTTTTAACATGAGTGTTGTGAGATTTTTCCAAGGATAATAGAACAGACATGCACTCACCCCAGATAAGCCACTGACAAACCAAAGAAATGATTCTACTGAAATCTAACTTAGAAAACCTCTGGCTACCGGGGTCGCCATAACCAGCTTTTCTACATAGGTGCCTGGGTCTGAACGTGGGTCCCTATTCTTGTCTAGTTAGCACTTCATAGTTCCTTCAGCTTGCCTAGCAAGCACTTCATCTGTTGAGCCATCTCCCTATCCTGGTGTGCTTAAACTTCTCGGAGCATCTTGATTACACCTGTAATGAACTTATTGTCAACTAAAGTGGGGGTCTGAAGAACCTCTTTTGGGAGGACGTAGTTCAATCTACAGAATCACCCAATGCCAAAAGCAGAAGGTGGCAGGATAGAGGAATTAATAAGTCTTTGACTTCAGCGAGGAGAGGTCAGCTTGGACCTGCTAGGTTCTTGGGAACCTGAAATAGCATGAACCATAAACAAACAACTGCAGGAAGCTGTAATCTGTAGCCAGGAAAAGCAGTTGGGGAGCCCTGGATAGCTCAGAGATGTCTTCTGACTTACATAATCAAAACAAGCAAGCCCAAGGGCTTTACCTACAAGTCATTTGGCCCCTATGCCATGTGCAGATTCCGAAGCTGTCATCTCAGTGACTCTTCTGCAGCTGGGATATGATACCCTGAGAGAAGTACCTTGAGAGACAAAGGTTTCTTCTGGCTCTCAGGTCAAGTTCATAGAGAAGTCAGGGCTGCAGAAGCTTGGAGCAGTTGGTCACATCCACAACCAGCAGTAGGCTCCCCAATACTCACCTCCTTGTCCCGTTGTATTGCAGTCCAGGAGGGGTTCTGCCCTCAGTCAAGAGGGGTCTTCTCACGTCAGTGAAGGTGATCAAGCTCACCCGCACAGGCTGCCTCTTGGGTGATTGTAGACTATGTCCCAGTGACAGCACTGACCATCGCAGGAGTAGCTCCCAGTTAGGACACAGGTACAAGGAGCCTTGCCCCCACGGGGGCCGTGGGAGCAATGAAAATGCAGGGGAATAAGTGGGAGATGGAGACTGCCCTTGGTTCACTTAAAACTGAACTAGCCAGCAACTCCCTGGTTTCCGTCTTAAACCGTGTAGTGACTTAATTAGAACGATGTTTACATGTTTGCTTTTATTCTCACACTACAGCTAATTATTTCCCAGCACTACTTGTTCTTCACAGTGTGATATAAGTTTCTCATTTATGATTCATTGATTCAAGACTATTTATGTGGTTCATGCTGTTTAATAGGTGTCATTTTGGGCATGGTAGATAGAGCAAATTTAAAAAAAAAAAGACTAAATCCTTGCCTTATTTTAGCTAAGAAGGAAATAAACAGAATAGAATGCAAGTCCCACATCCAAGGATTCAACCAAGCCTGAATGAAAAAATACCAGAGTAAAACACTCGAACTCATCATTATTCCATGAACAATGCAGGGTAACAGCTACAGCATTTGCAGTGTGGCACGTGTTATGAGAAATTCAGAGGTCATTCACAGTAGACGGGAGGATTGTGACTGCGAAAGTGAATCATTTGAGCACCTAGGAGTTTGGGCATCCCTCACAGGTGTTAGGGCATCCCGGAACCACTCCCTGTGGCTACTGACTAATAACCATAATAATGCCAACTAAGGATGTGTGCTTTTAAAGCATTTACTAGGTGGGGTTTGTGTGTGTACATACGTGTGTGCGCGCGCACGTGTGTGTGTGTGTGTGTGTGTGTGTGTGTGTGTGTTTATGCAGATGTGTGAGCACAGGAGCCCATACATCACAGTGCTCATGTGGAGGCCAGAAGACAATTTTCTGTAGTTGGTTTTCTCTCTCGTCCTTATGTGTTTCAGGGGATTGAATTCAGGCCGTCACGCCTGATAGCAAGACCCTTTTGTCACTGAGGCATTTAAGTAACACAGTGATGCACAGTTTTAAATGGGGAAAATGGGGTGCATATGAAATAGCGAGTCCACTGCCTCCTGAGACTGACTGGGTGAGGGTCTCTCTGTAGAGTGAATGCTTGAACAAAAGTTGAGATGAAGTGTTGACGTGTGATATGTGCTGGAGCTTATGGGCAGAGTATAGCAGGTACGGTGACAGGACTGGTGTCCCCAGGTCAGTGTGGACAGAGCACACTGATAGAAGGGATGGAAATCAGGGTGGAGAAGAATTCAGGAGCCAGTTGTGTAAGACCTTATGGGCAGTGAAAAGGCTGGAGGTTCCAGACCCAGCAAAGGGAATGGGGGGAGCAGTCTGAACAGGGGAGTGAGTGACTCCGTTTCCAGGGAATGCAGTGGCTTCTGCACAGAGAGCAGGCTCATAGGAAATGAGCATGTGGACACATCTAGGCCTTCCAGCATGAGGGGCCAAGTGCTGAGCACTCCATGGGAACTCAGCCCACCAGAAAGGCCCCTGGGAACAGGTGACAGGAGGGAGAGAAGCAGAGCTGTCAGGCTCACAGCAGGGCAGAGGCAGGAGGACGCACTTGCTTCTTTTCCTGATTCCCAGACTTAGGTGGGCATCACCAGGAGCCAGGAAGAAGAACATAGGACTTGTAGATATGGTGATGCAAGGGAAGCCTGCAAAAGGGGAGTGATCGTGAGAACAGACAGAAGTTTATTAGAGATCAAAGAGAAATAGAAGGTGACTATGACTACAAGTTTCCATACATGAAACATTGGCACATATATCTCAACATTAGCTGCACACAGTGACATGTAGACATCAGTAATATCTGTACACACACACACACACACACACACACACACACACACACACACACAAGGTGGGGAGAGCCAAATAGTTTTCATCTCAATGCCAAAACAATTCACAGACAATGGTTGCCCGAATTGCTATATTAAGGATTCTGAGGCTATATCAATGAACATCCTGTACTTGCTATGATGTGGGGAGGGGAAGGGGCCCCATCCATGCCAGATATGAGCTGTGAAGTCTGCACAGCCAAGCAGTTGTCAGCCAAGCCCCTCACCTTGAGAACGTCTTGAAGGGAATCTCTTGTTTTCTTTAAGGTGGTGGTAACACCTCACCCTGAGTCCCCTGTGGAAAGAAAGAGCCATGATTAAGCTGAAATTCTTGGAATACAGGTATTCCTCTTCCTTCTTGTTCCCCAGGAATTTAAAGAGGTCATTTCTTGGTATCATTTCTTCCTGAAGGGTTTGCTTTTGTTTCTGTGGGAGGGGTTGCCTGTGGGAAGGAATGCAAGAGTATGTGTGTTGGTGCACGTGTGCTTATGTATGTGTGTACATGTGGAGGCCAAGACAACCTTGCGTGTTTACTTCCAGGTGCCCTCCGCTTTGTGTTCGAGGCAAGGTCTCTCACTGGCCTGGAATCTTCCAATAGGTTTAGCAGGCTAATCACTGAGCTCCAGGGATTTCCCTGTCTCTACTTCCCCATTGCTGAGAAACCAAGCACTTGCCACTGTGCCCAGCTTTTACAGGGTTCTGGGAATCGAACTCAGGTCCTCGGGCTTGCAAGGCAAGTGGAACAACTGAGCCATCTAAAGTCTGGGTTATTTCTTTCTCCTTTATGCTAAGGAGGATGTGAGGCAGCACACTAGTCCCTTGGCCATTCCCTGCTCTACAGACTCTGCAGGCTGTGCACACTGTAGAAACAGACCATTCCCCTGACACTGTCTGTGGAAGTTACTCTAGAGGGAATGGTTCTGCCTGTGCAGGTGGAATATGGTGTCACCCTGTGGTTGCAACCCCATGGACTCCCAAGCCATTCTAGTGGTCGTCCTGCATGTCTCGGTGTCCTTCCAGGATGGGGTGCAGCTAATGTAGAGATCTGGTATGTCATATCCTTTAGAAATTCAGCCAGACAGCAGGGGGTCAGGTGGAGCATCTTCTCTGAGAAGGAAATTTTCAAATGAAATCAAGAGGTTCAGGAGTCAAACCTTGGGGATCCCGAGGTGCACCTCCTCCAAAGTGAGGTGACCCTGCTTGCAGTGTGCACCATGGCCAATCCTGTTCCTAATCTCCCTGCTTATCTTTCCCTTGATTTTTATTGTGAGAACTCTTTTAAATGGGAATTTGTAGGATTATCTTTAATATTCTGTCAAAGCCTCTGGTGCATGTTAATTATCAGTTTAACTAACTCGGAGCAATTTATGTGGCTATTACCTGAAGATAAAATATTTTACATTTTTTTTAATTTTTAATCTCCAATAAAATAACAAGTTATTTTATTATTCAAATAGGGCTCACTTCCTGCTGTGTTCAATACAATTTTTAATAAATATGTAAATTCTAAAATTAATTTACAGCATGCATTGGGAGGCATGATTTTGAGATGACAAAAAACTTGATGGATCGTAAAATTGTCCCCCTCCCCCTTACAATCATCAGTCACTGAGAACAGAATGTGCAGGCCTCTTATAATCCTCCAGCCTTTCCTTCATCTTGTTTTGTTAGGGACTCACTTGAAATTGATTACAAAGTAATATGTTTCTTGGACCATCACTCATTCACAGATTAATTAGATATTTTAGTTACTATCCCGCTGTGAGGGGGTACAGCTGTCGCTCCTGCTTTGTTGTTGAGGGCATCAGAAGAGTAACCTTGATAATTGCTCCCACGTGAGCAAGGCTACCAGGCCTCACTGACCAAATTCTGGCCACATGAAGTAAGACATCCTTTACCTTGCTTGTGTGTGTGTGTGTGTGTGTGTGTGAGAGAGAGAGAGAGAGAGAGAGAGAGAGAGAGAGAGATAGAGAGAGAGATACAGATACAGATACAGATACAGATACATGTTTGTCCATGCATGCACATATCAAGACCAGAGGTCGGTCAACATTAGATGTCATCTACTGTAACTTATCTTTGGAGATAGCATCTCTCATTGAACCTGGGACTCACACCAGTTCAAGATCCCATGATCTGCCAGTGACCACCCTCCCCCAGTCATATGGTGACAGGTAACCTCCACCGCTTCCAGCTTTTTGCATGGTTATTGGGGATCCAGATGTGGTCCTCATATTTGCATGCAAGCACCATACTTGCTGAGCCATACCTGTGGTCCCCTACTATGTTTCTTTTCTAATTGGTACACAGCAAGATTTCTTTATTGGCTGTGACCAATGCACACTGACATTCTTGTACATGGTGACTTGGTTTTTCTCTTGGTTGAGAATTTCTGTAGCTGTTTTCTAAAACCTGCAAAAGGAACAGAAACAGAAGTGCCGGTGCCTAGTGGGTTTGGACTCCCAACACACCACTTTCCTGATCCTTTACCAATGGATACGATCTTTGGATCAATTTTATAATGTTTAGTAATCCTACGATCGCCCTGAATCCCGTTTGTATATATCTCTGTGTTTGTGACTATGTGTTCTTGTGAAATAGGAGGTCATATGTCAGAGATGCAGAGGCCAGAAGACAACCTCAGATGTTGTAACTGTCTGCTTATTTTAAGACAGTTCCCACTGGTTCGAACACTCCAGGCTGGCTAGCCATTGAGCCTCAAGAATGGGTCTGTCTCCGCCTCTTCGGGTCTAGAACTGCAGCACACACTGCCCCACACAGCTTCTTACATGTCTGCTGGGTCTGGAACTCCGCTCCTCAGGCTTGTGTGACAAGCACAGTACTGACTGAGCTGTGACCTCCCCGGTCTCCCACCCCCAACACAACTATGCCAGTAACTTGTCTAGAACAGATCTAAAGAAAATTAGTTCTCAAGTCAATTAGGAAAACTGTAGGTATGTGTATCAGGGAAACTGGGCAGGAACACAGCGAACAGAAATTCTGACCTGCTCATATTTAAGTAGTTGAAAATCTGAGATTTCATGAAACTGAGAATTAGGCAATTTTCTCCCTTCTACTCCCAAACCTATGTCAGTGTGTGAAAAAAGTTGCTACCTGTTACATGAAGCAGCTTTTACCACCTTGAGGTTCCCCATATACCCGGACACAGACTGAGCCAAGGGCCTCTCAAGGTGAGGAAGTTATCACTTAGGACTCCACCCTGGTCATGAGCCTGTTGAGAACCCCAGGCCTTTATACAGTTCTCTTTAAATCGTATGTTCTGTGGTTTGTGTGTGCACACACGTGTGGATGCCAAAGGACAACCTTAGGTGTCATGCCTCAGTGTGCCACCCACCTTGTTATTCTGACTGCCCTGAATTCACGAAGTAAGCTAGATTGGCTGACTGGCAAATCCCAGGGATCCCCTGTCTCCTCCTCCCCAGGGTTAGAATTACGAGTGCACACCACCACCTCAGGCACTTTCATATGGGGTCAGGGAATCAAACCCAGATCTTTGTACTTGCAAAGGAATGCTTTATTGACTGAGCCATTCCTCCAACCCCATGGTTATGTGACTGATCCCTACTCGCTCTTTGTGTGTTTTTATCTCTATCTTTTCAGGTGGCAGGATGATCCTCCAAAGTACATACTAATCAAAGTTTTCTGAAAAACAGATTTTATTTTCCCATTTACCTATTGTGGAAGTAATTACGTCCATGCACAAGTTCTAAACAAAGTAAATCTGGATATTTGGACACTAAACTGCCCTTCTCAGACTTCCCACTAAAGAGACCAGTGTCTTGTTCTTGGAACCCAGTGACTTTCAAAGGCATGAAAAGGTGCTGCAGGGTGAAAAAGGACATGTGGTCTGTGGGTCAGGCATGTGGCACAGGGGCATAAAGACACACAAAGTCATCACCCCTAATGGAAGATGGAGTCACATCAGCAGTGTGTATTATAACATTGGCTCGCTCTTACCACAGTGCTGGTCTACAGAGGAGTGGAGGGAGAGCAAGGTTGCTCCTGGGTAAAAAATGATTCTGAGATTTCCCATCACCTGTGTCAGGAGATGAGTGGGTGATGGTGATCCCAAAGGATGGAAGGACTTGTGGGCATACCAGTAAATTTACATGTGTTTCTATGTATTCATATGTATGCATATTCATGTGTATGTGTCCATATTTATATGGGAGCACATGTGTATGTGTATTTATTTGTGTACAAGTGTGTGTGCATATGGAAGCCATAGGTAACCTCAGATGTCATTTCGGGACTCTGTCCATCTCAGGTTTTGAGACAGAGACTCTCAATGGCCTGGAACTCACCTATTAGGCTAGACTGGCTGGCCAGTGAGCCTCAGAGATCCACCTGTCTTCTACCCCCTCTCCACTGGCCACCCTGCCCAGCTCCTTTTACATGGGTTCTGGGGACCAAACTCAGGTTCTCATGTTTGTGCAAGAAATACTTTGCTGACTGAGACATCTCATCAGCCCAGGGGGGAAACCTTCTGGAGAGAGTAAGATATGTGAACCAGAACCTTGAGACTGTCTTACTGAGCTCAGAATTCTGCCCATTGCTATCTGCAAATGGCTAGTTAAATAATACGCCTGATACCTATCTGCATGCTACTGACCTTCTGCCAAGATGTTGCTGATCAGTCTTAATTTTATCTGCAAATCCTGGATCACTGGTGTTTTTATTGCTTTTCAGATTGATCTTTGAACTCTATGATCCTTGCCCCGTGATGCTTCTGGATGTTACCTGGTTGAGCCAATTGACAGTCTCAGCTTGTCTGACAATAGAAAATTTTCTCATTTCCCCACTTCCATAGAGAACACTTCAGCTTCCAGTTGCCTTTCAATTTTATCAAAGAGAAGATTGTTATTGTTATATTATTATTATTATTATCATCATTATTATTGAATTGTGTGGGTATACATATGCCACTTGATATATGTATGTGGTTGCAAGTACCGCAGCATGATGAGGCTTTAAGAAGACAACTTTGCAGAGTGGGTTTTCTCTTTCTACTTTGTCATGGGTTCTGGATATAAACTCCGGTCATCAGTTTCATATGGCAAGTGTTTTTACCCATTGCATCATACCCTGACCCTGGGAGGTTGCATTTTTCTGGAAGTTAAGGTCTCTATCTTCAGCTGCCCATAAATCAAACAAGACTCAAATACCAGAACCCTAAAAGATGGGCAGGTGTCTCCGACCCTGAGTAGCCATTCCCTTGCTCCCATGCAACCCCACAGCACTGTTTCCCCTACTTTTCAGGAACCTTGCTTCCATGGGGAGAAAAATAGGAGAGACTTCCTTCTCCTTCTGCTGCTTGGGGGA